ACCACCCAAAGCCACCCCAACACATAGTTCTTCTGGTTCTCTTCTTTTCCTTTTACCCACTATCAACTCTTGCCTTTGCAATGATGTCTTTCTGTAATTTCATTTGTTACTCTAAATCAGTTTCTACCTTTTCACCAAATCATTTCCATCAGCATACAGTGTCCGCCACCATTAAAAACATCATTCTTGGAGCGCCTGGGTGGCTCAGTGGGTTGAGCCTCTGCTTTCGGCTCAGGTCATGATCTCAGGGTCCTGGGATCGAGCCTCACATCAAGCTCTCTGCTCATTGGGGAGCCTGCTTTCCCCTCTTCCTGCCTGCCTGTCTGCCTACTTGTGATCTCTCTGTAAATAAATAAAATCTTTAAAAAACAAAACAAAACAACATTCCTGACTACCTCCTATTCTGGTTCTTTGCATCTCCTCATAGCAAAACATGTTTTCACTGTCTCTCCTTTCACTCTTCCATTCTCTCCTGAACTCACTTCAGTTGTACTTCCCTTTCCCCCAATCCCACAGAATCTACACCAGTCAAAATTGTTGATCGAGAAAGACTGCAAAAATGACCAACATTACTGCCCTTCTCGTATCCATCCCCTTTGCAGCATGATTTTGTAGCTTTATCAATTAAGAAACAGAGTTTACTTAACCCCCTTTTGTATCTAGGCTTCCCTGTGACCTTCTTTGGTCACTAGTATGCAGTGAAAGCAATATTGTTCCAGTTGCAAGCCTAGACTTCAAGAGGTCTTGAAAAACCATCCACCATGTAAACAAGGAGACTACTGCTGTAGCATGAGACACCGCATGGGACAGAGACGAGCCAACTCTGATAAGGCCAATCTTACACCACTAGCTTCTGTCACACCTGCCAACTGACCACATATTTTTGAGTGGGCCCAGCTGAGGAAAGAAACACCCAGATGAGGGGTGCCTGGGTGGCTCAGAGGGTTAAGCTTCTGCCTTCAGCTCAGGACATTATCTCAGGGTCCTGGGATCGGGTCCTGCATTGGGCTCTCTGCTCAGCTGGGAGCTGCTTCCCTCCCTCTCTCTCTGCCTGCCTCTCTGCCTACTTGTGATCTCTCTCTGTGTGTCAAATAAATAAATAAAATTGTAAAAAAAAAAAAAGGAATCACCCATTTGAGCCTAACCCATTGTCACTCCACAGAACTATGAGCTGTGTAAATGGTTATTGTTTTAAGCCTTTATGTTTTGGGTGTTTGGTTAAACAACAAAAACAACACCATCTAAAATCACCAGCTAACTTGCTTGCATGACAATGGTGAGTTTTCTGTCCTCTTCCCTCTCTCTGCATCAGACTACAGGTTGACCACTCTATCTTACTTGAAACACTCTCTCTTTGGCTTCAGAACATCGCACTCTCCTTGAGTTAAAATGAGTTGTCTTTGATGAATGGATAAAAATATGTGATGTGTGGGGCACCTGGGTGTCTCAGTTGGTTAAGCCACTGCTTTCAGCTCAGGTCATGATCCCAGAGTCTCAGGATCGAATCCCGCATCAGATTCCCAGCTCCGTGGGGAGTCTGCTTCTACCTCTGACCTTCTCCCCTCTCATGTTCTCTCTCTCTCTCAAATAAATAAATAAAATATTTAAAAAAAAAATAAGATGTGATGTATATACACAATGGAATATTATACAGCCATCAAAAAAACGAAATATTGCCATTTGCAATAATGTAGATGGAACTGGAGGGTATTATGCTAAGTAAAGTAAATCAATCAGAGAAGGACAATTATCATATGATCTCACTGATATGTGGGATTTGAGAAACAAGACAGAGGATCATAGGGGAAGAGAGGAAAAAATGAAACAAGAAGAAACCAGAGAGGGAGATAAACCATAAGAGTCTCTTAATCTCAGGAAACAAACTGAGGGCATGGGAGGGATGGGGTGGCTGTGTGATGGACCCTGGGGAGTGTATGTGTTGTGGTGAGTGCTGTGAATTGTGTAAGACTAATGAATCACAGACCTGTATCCCTCAAACAAATAATACATTATATGTTAATAATTAAAAAAAAGGATGGGACACCTGGGTGGCTCAGTCGGTTAAGCCACTGCCTTCAGCTCAGGTCATGATCCCAGGGTCCTGGGATCAAGTCCTGCATGGGGCCCCTTGCTCGGCGGGGAGCCTGCCTCTCCCCCTGCTTGTGCTTACTCTCTCTCTGACAAATAAATAAAATCCTTAAAAAACAAACAAACAAACAAATAAGTAAAGGACAAGAAAAATTGCAGTAAGATACACATAACATGAAACTTACATTGTAATGATTTGTTTTTAATTTAAGTTTTAAAGTTTAAGTGTATGGTTCTTTGGCATAACTAAGTCTATTCCAATTGTTGTGCGACCATCATCACTATCTGTCTCAAGCACTTTCTCGTCTCCCCAAACTGACACACTGCACCCATTAAACAGTCTCTCCATACCTTCCCAAACCTCCCCGCACCACCCTCGGCAATCACATTTCTCCTTTCTGTCTCTCTGAAAGTAAATACTCTAGGTTTCTCATAAAAGTAGAACCATAATACAGTATTTTGTAACTGGCTTCTTTCACAGAGTATAATATTGCCAAGGTTCATCCACGTTGTAGTGTGTGTCAGAATTTTCCTCCTTTTAAAAGCCGAATAATAGGGGCTCCTAGGTTGGTTGGTTAACCTACCTAGTTAATCAACTAGGTTAGTTGGTTAAGTGTCTGGATCTTAGTTTCAGCTCAGGTCATGATCTCGGGGTCTTGAGATCGAGCCCTGTGTTGGGCTCCACACTCAGCATGGACTCCGTTTGAGATTCTCTCCTTCCCTCTCTGCCCCTCCTCCCCCTGCTCACTTAGGCTTGCTCTCTAAAATAAAATAAATAAATAAAATCTTAAATAAATAAAAAAAGAAAGAAAGAAACGAGTTGTCCTAGCCCCATCCCAAGTCACCCCTCCACTTTACTCTCCTGGTGCTCTTCACTGGCTGCTTTTTCTCAATTTTATAATGGCTTCTTTGCTGATGAACCTCTAAACTATGAGAGGTTCAGCCTTAAAACTTCTTTTAGTTCCTCTTAATGTGTACTCCTGGATAATATCATCCAGTCACATGATCTTAAGTATCTGTTATATCCTGATGACACTCAAATCTATATCGCTATCCCTGATACTGCCTTTGAATTCCATACCAAAGGTATGGCTTCCTACTTGACATATTGTTTTGATGTCTAATGGGTTCTTTCTTTCTCTTTGTTTTTTTTTTTCATTTAAATTCATTTAGCCAATATATAACACATCATTAGTTTTTGATGTTGTGTTCATGATTCATTAGTTGTGTATAAATAACATTCAGTGCTTTCAAAGATAATGTGGCAGAAACAGGATTCTCATTCCCCACCTTCATGATTCTATACAAAAATTGGTTCTCCTTGTGTCTTGACCATCCATCAAATCTATTTGATTTAAATTCCTTTCTGAACCCTCCGTTTTACTTATCTCTATCCATTCCCATTCACATCAGCAAATGCAGTTGGCTGTGTCTCAGCAATATGGTAATATCTGAAATATAGCAGATAGTAGGATAGGAGAAACTGGACCTTACACACATTGCTCTTGGGAATGTAAAATGGAATGGCTGATGTGGAAAGGGTTTGTTGGTTTCTCAAGAGCTAAATATAGAGTTACCATAAGACCCAGCAAATCCACTCTTAAGTATATATCCAAGAAAACTGAAAACATAAATAAAAACAACTACAAAAATTTCATAGTAGAGTAATAGCCAAAAAAAGTGGAACTAACCCAAATGGGTGAATTGTTAATCAAACCGTGGTGCATCTACTATTCAGCAGTAAAAAGGAACCGACTACTGATACATGCAACAAATTGTATGGGTCTCAAAGTAGAGTGCAGACCTGAAAGTGATGGGACAATTGAGCTCCTAACTATGGGGAATTTAGGGGATTGCTGACCTGAGGGTATTTGAACCATCTATATCCAAGGCATGGGAATTGGATGTCGTATAAGAGAGAGCCACCCAAAGTTGCAGGCAGGGGAAGGTGGATTTCCACAGTTAACTGAGGATGCAAGTCCTATATCTAGGATCTCTGGGCAAGTCAGTAGTGTGTGGTGGACTTGCCACACAATTGTATGGAGAAGACTTACTGATATTTTTCCCTTGTAAACTCTAATTACAGAAGAATGAAATCATTAAGAAGGACCCAGATGAAACCACAGTGATGAAAGAAAAAGAAAAAGAGAAAGGGAAAGAGAAAGAAAAAGAAAAAGGGAAAGGGAAAGAGAAAAAGAAAGAGAAAGAGATAGAGAAAGAAGAGTCTCTACTTCCAACTCTACCCCCTCCACCAAAGGCAGGTCAATGGAGGCCCTCAAAGTTAAGGGTGACTCTTATTTTCAAGGAGTGTTGGTTTGTCTTCTCTGTGCCCCATAGCATGGCATGATCCTGGAATCCGTCACCTGGACCAGGTTCCATTTGTGAGTACAAGGTTGGGCTTTGAGTGATTCCTCAAGAACAATAAGCATAAGCCAGAATGTCCCAAGCCAATCAGGATGAATGTTTGCCCTATCCATTCCGGCTCTGGGTAGGGCAACGGTTCATCCCGATTGGCCTGGGACATTCTGCTTTATCTACTTGGTTATCCTCTCCTCCGAGTTCCTTCTTGGTCGGAGAAAGGTGGGTGACTGAGGCACAGAGACTTGGTAGTAAGGAGGGGAGCCCCTGACAAGTGGGACTCAGACCCTGCCAAGCTGGGGAGTGGGGCAGCGAGGCTGTGTTTGGAGAAGGCATTGACACATGCAGGGGAAGCCGAGTATAGAACTGTGTGGGAGTGCGCGTGTACACGTGTGCACGTATGCGTGCTGACGTTTAAGATGTGTGAACCCCACAAAGTGAAAGTGCGAGATAAATGAGAAGGACTTCACACTGCATGGAGCAGGGCAACTTGTAATTCTGTGACTTGATGGAGAGACACAGCAGGTTGTGGGTTAAGCTGGATGGAGTCAGGCATGAATGCAAACAAAGGCTGCCACTTCTCCAGCCACCTTGCTGGGGTGAAGGGAAGGTATACGCAGCCCAGGTAGGTGGCCAGGCCCAGGCCCAGGTGGAACGTGGTGCATGGCGTGCTTCTTCCAGACAGACCAACCGGGATAGCTAGTGCCAGAATGCCCCATTCTACAGCCCAGGAGCCTGAGCCTCGGGGGGGCAATCTGAGGTCCATTAAGAGAGAGGCGCAGAGACCAGACACCTATCTGGTCTACTGGCTCCCTGCCCAGTGCCCCTGAACTTCTGAGCGAGCCCTGCTTGGCCTGCCCTGGAGCTGAGGTAGGTGGGGAACGTTCCCTGAGGATCCCTTGTTTATCTTTGCCACCTCTCTCCCCAAAGAAGAAGAAGCATCCTGACCAAGAGCAGAAAGCCATAAAGATCCAGGCGTGGTGGCGGGGCACCCTGGTGCGCAGGACCTTGCTGCACGCGGCCCTCAGAGCATGTGTCATTCAGCACTGGTGGAAGCTGATGCTGGCAAGGCTGCTGGAGAAGAGAAAGCGAGCAGCCCTCGAGTCCTCCTCGCGGCGAGAATGGGCAGTGGTCCAGCTGCAGTCCTTGGTCCGCATGTGGCGCGTCCGCCAGCGTTACTGCCGTTTGCTCCACGCTGTCCGCATCATCCAGGTCTACTGGCGCTGGCATAACTGCCATTCCCGTGGCTTTTTCCAGGGCACCTACGACCTCACGGCATCACATCTGGGTCTTGAACTTGAGATTTTTTTGGGCTCACAGATTTGTCGGATTACGGACTGCATCCCCTTCCCAATAAAGAACTGATCAGGTCTGCTCCAACTCTGCGTCACCGGGTCTCTTTCAGGCCCGCCCCAGGAGATCCATGTGTCAGCAGAGGGTCAGGGAAAATGGCCGCAGAGACTAGGCTTGGCACAGTCTGCTCCAAGGATGTGGCTGTGTTCCTCTGGGGTCCCTGGTGGAGAAGGATTCTAAGCCTCTGGTGCTAGAGGGCGGGGCCTGGAACCCATGAGCCTCCCCATCTGCCACCGGGAGGAGAGTTGGGGTCACAGAGCCACCCACTCAGCCAACTCCAGGGAGACTCCTTCACAGTGTGGTCCATGCACATGGTGCCCCCTGTGGCTGTGCCCCACGGAGGGTTCTTCATTCTTCACTGTCTTCCCATCACATTTAGAACAAGTCCAAAAGCCCTCCTGGGGTCTCCATAAGCCTACATGGTCCCGGCCTGGCCATGTTACCCTCTCCATGTCCTCCTCCTGGCCACCTGCTCTTCAGATCACCCCCCGCACCTCCACATTCCCATCTCAGCACTTTGCACTTGCTGCCTCCTCTCCTTTGGTAGACTTTCCAGGTGGAGCATCCCCTCCACTCATGTGTGTCTCTGCCCTATGCTCCCTCCTCAGGGAGACCTTCTTCAACCATCTTATTGAAATGACTTCCCCACCCTGTACTGTATGTTCTAGTACCTGACCCTGCTTTCCTGTTTTCAAAGTCCCCATTGCTACCCAAGATTATCTTACATCATTTTCTATTTTCTATTGCCCCCAGTAGAGGGTGAGCTCCAGGAGAGCAAGACTCTGGGTTCAGAGCTATTCCCAGAACCTAGGTCAGTAGTTCTCTCTTCTTATCCCTCTCTCTCCCATATATATATATGTGTGTGTCTATACACACACACACACACACACACACACATATGTGTGTGTGTGTATATATATGTATGTGTGTGTACATATATCTATATATGTACACACACATACATACATATATATATATATACAAACACATATATACATACACATATATATATTAGCTATTCTACATATCCTACATATTAAGCCATTTTTGTTATCCTTAAAAAAAAAATCCCTTTTGGGGTTGGGAGAGACTGGCCTTCCCAGGGCCAGCCAGTCCTTAGAGATAGATTTTCATCTGCAAAGGAACGAATTCAGGGCCATACCTCCTCTTTCTTTGTCTTGTACACCCACAGGAGGCCATATTCCTCTGTCTTAATCATCCCAAGCCAGGTACTAGGCATCTAAGCTTTAGAATGGGATCAAACTTAAGGGTTTTTTTTTTAATCAACTTAAAGTAGACTTATGGATATAAGTTGTGACATGTATGCTTCATGATAACCACAAAGCAAAAACCTACAGTAAATACCCAAAAGATAAAAAGTAATATAAGCATACCACTAAAGAAAGTCCTCAAACCACAAAGGAAGAGAGCAAGAAAAGAAAAACAGAGAGGAGCTACAAAAATAGCCAGAAAACAATAAACAGAATAGCAATAAGCACGTAACTTTGAATAATTACTTTAAATGTAAGTGGACTAAATTCTCCAATTAAAGGACACAGAATGGGTGAATGGTTAAAAATAAAAAAGAAGACCCAGCTATATGCTTAGATGTAAAGACACACAAAGACTGGAAGTGAAGGGATGGAAAAAAATATTCTGTGCAAATGGAAACCAAAAGAAAGCCGAGTAGCAATACTTACATCAGACAAAATAGACTTTAAAATAAAAGCTGTAATAAGAGATAAAGAAAGGGGCACCTGGGTGACTCAGTCGGTTGAGCTACTGCCTTTGGCTCAGGTCATGATCCTGGAGTCCCGGGATCGAGTCCCTCATCAGAATCCCTGCTTGGCAGGGAGACTGCTTCTCCCTCTGACCCTCTCTCCTCTCATGCTCTCTCTCTCACTCTCTCAAGTAAAAAAATAAAATATTTTTTAAAAAAGAAAGAGACAAAGAAAGGTGTTACACAATGATAAAAATTCAGTCCAACAAGAGAATATAACATTTATAAGTATTTATGTACCCAACACAGGAGCACCTAAATAAATAAAGCAAATATTAACTGACATAAAGGAAAAATAGACAGCCTTATAATACTATTAGGGGACTTTAACACTCCCACTTACATCAATGGATAGATAATTCAGCCAGAAAATCAATGAGAAAACATTGGCCTTAAATGACATGTTAGATCAGATAGAATTAACAAGTATACAGAACATGCCATCCAAAAGCAACAAAATACATGTTCTTTTCAAATGCACATGGACTACTTTCCAAGATAGATCATATGTTAGGCTACAAAACCAGTCTTAATAAATTTAAGAGGATTGAAATCATATCAAGCACCTTTCTGACTCTAATAGAAATTAATTACATGAAGAAAACTGGAAAATTCACAAATGGGCCAAAGAAATCAAAAGAGAAGTTTAAAAATGCCTTGAAACAAAAATACAATATAACATGCTGAAATTTATGAGATGCAGTATCAGTAGGTCTAAGAAAAAAGTTCATAGTGATAAATGCCTACTTCAGGAAACAAGATAAGTTTGAAATAAAGAACTTAACTTTGCACCTCAGTGAACTAGAAAAAGAAGGACAAAGGAGGCCAAAGTTAGTAGAAGAAAAAAAAATAACAAAGACCAGAGCAGAAATAATGAAACAGAGACTAAAAAGACAATAAAAATATCAATGAGAGATGGTTCTTTGAAAAAAAATAAACAGAATTCATAAGCGTTACCAGATTCACTGAAGAAAAAAGTGAGAAGGACTCAAAATCAGAACTAAAAGGGATGTTACAACTGATACCACAGAAATAAAAAGGATTATAAGAAACTACTTTGAACAGTTATACAACCTTGAAGAAATTGATAAATTCAGGGTGCTGGGTGACTCAGTAGTTAAGCGTCTGCCTTCGGGTTAGGTCATGATCCCAGGGTCCTGGGATCGAGTGCCACATCAGGCTCCCTGCTCTGTGGGAAGCCTTCTTCTCCCTCTCCCACTCCCCCTGTTTGTGTTCCCTCTCTCGCTGTATCTCTCTCTCTCTCTCTCTCTCTGTCAAATAAATAAATAAATAATCTTAAAAATAAAAGAAATTGATAAATTCCTGGAAACATATAACCTACTGAGACTGATCATGATGAAATAGAAAATCTGAACAGACTGATTGTTAGCAGAGATTGAATTAGTAGTCAAAAACCTATTTGGGTGTCTGGGTGGCTCTATCAGTTGAACAACTGACTCTTGGTTTTGGCTCAGGTCATGATCTCCTCGTCAGGAGATCAAGTTCTGTGTCCAGCTCCATGCTCAGCAGGGAGTCTGCTTCCCCTCTCACTCTCCCTCTGCCTCTCTCTCTGCTTTCCCACTCTCTATCTCTCAAATAAATAAATAAATCTTTAAAAAAAAAAACAACACCTCTCAACAAACAAAAGTTTAGGACCAGACATCTTCACTGGTGAATTCTACCAAACATTCAAAGAAGGATTAATACCAATCCCTCTCAAACTCTTCAAAAAATAGAAGAGGAAGGAACTCTTTCAAACTCATTTTATAAAGCCAACATTACCTTGATGCCAAAGCTAGACAAGGATGCCGTAAGAAAAGAAAATTATAAGTCAGTATTCCTGATTAACGTAAGTGCAGAAGTCATCAACAAAATATTAGCAAACTGAATTCAACAATACATTAAAAGGATCATATACCATGATCAAGTGGGATTTATTCCAGGGATACAAGGATGATTGAATATCCAAAATTCAGCCAATGTGATACACCGCATTAACAAAATGAAGGATAAAAATCCATCATCTCAACAGATGCAGAAAAAAATTGACAAAATTAAATGTTCATTTATTATAAAAACTCTCAACAAATGGGTTATAGAGGGAATGTACCTCAACCATAATAAACACCATATATGCCAAGCATACAGGTAGCATCGTACTTAATAGTGAAAACTAAAAGACCTAAGTCAGGAACAAGAGAAGGATGAAAACCTAAAAGACCTAAGTCAGGATGAAAACCTAAAAGACCTAAGTCAGGAAAACCTAAAAGACCTAAGTCAGGAACAAGAGAAGAATGTCCAATCTTGCCACTTTTATTCACCATAAAAGTGAATACTGAAGTCCTAGCCAGAGAAATTAGGTAAGAAAAAGAAAAAAAGGTCAAAAATTGGAAAGGAAGAAATAAAACTATCACTATTTACAGATAGCATGATATTATATTAGGAAACCCTAAGGATTCATCAAAAACTGTTAGAATAAACAAATTCAATAAAGTTACAGAATACAAAATAAATATACAAAAATCTGTTGTATTTCTTTACACTTATAATGAACTATCAGGGAAATTAAGAAAATAATCCCATTTACAATTGTATCAAAAAAAAATACCTAGGAATAAATTTAACCAAGGAGGAGAAAGACCTATAAATTGAAAACTACACAACATTAATGAAAGAAATTTAAGAAGACAAATAAATGGAAATATATTTCATGTCCATGGATTAGAAGAATTAATATTGTTAAAACATCCATACTACCCAAAACAATATAAGATTTCAATACAATCCTTATCAAAACTCCAATGGTATTTTTCACAGAAGTAGAAAATAATCATCATAAAATTTGTGTAGACTCACAAAAGACTCTGAAAAGCCAAAGTAGTCATGAGAAAGAACAAAACTAGAGGCATCACACTCGCTGATTTCAAATGATATTACAAATCTATAGTAATTAAAACAGTACGGTTGTTGTCATATAAAGAGACACAAAGGTCAAAGTACCAGAATAAAAATCTCAGAAATAAACTCATATACATATGGTCAATCAATTTACAACAAAGGAGTCAAGTTTATACAATGTGGAAAGGACAATCTTTTCAATAAATGATGTTGGGAAAATTAGATAGCCACATGCAAAAGAATGATATTGGCCCACCATCTATATATCATGCACAAAAATTAACTCAAAGAGTTAAATGTAAAGACTTGAATGTAAAACCGGAAATCAGAAAGCTCCTAGAAG